TGGTGGTGGATGAGTGCCACAGGGCAACCGACACACCCAGTTTGAACCTTTATTGTTGTGTGCCATGTTTGTTGTCCTGCAGTGCCTGCAAAATGACCTCAAGAAGGGCACTTGCCCTGCGCACAAGCTGGTGTGCCTGGTGGTGGATGAGTGCCACAGAGCAACAGGGGATGCAGCAATGGCCAAGTCGCTGCAGCTGCTGCGGGAGCGCCGCGCCGTGTTCAGGGTGCTGGGGCTGTCAGCAACGCCTGGCAACTCACATGAGAAGATCAAGGTGCGCAGTTTGGTGTGCAAATCATAGCAGAACATGGACAAGAGCAGCAGAATGAGTGGCGGTGTGGCAGGGTGCTCCGACTATCAGCATCGCCTGGCAACTCACATGAAAAGATCAATGTGGGCCTACACTGCTGCTGCTAGCCTTTGCGATGCGCCAAAACACACTCTCACTGGGAAGTCTAGAACAATGTTGCTGCGTGATAAATACATGCAACTGAGACACGCTTGGTGATTTGTTTGCACTGATATGTTAGTGCACACCGCTGCTGCTGCAAAGCAGGCTGTGGTGCAGAACCTGATAACAACCCGCATCCAGTTTTGGGACGATGCCGATGCTGACGTGGCCCAGCACTGCCAGGCATTGCTGCTGCTGCTGATGCCATTTCCAAGCACACAGCTCCCTTCTGATTGCCCAAACCATCGTTTCCCTGCTAACACGACTGTGACCCACATGCGTGTGTTTGCACTCTTTTCTTTGCACACCAAAAACAGGCCGTGGTGCAGAACCTGATGATAAACCGCATCGAGTTCAGGGACGATGCCGATGCTGACGTGGCCAAGCACTGCCACGTGCGCAGCCGCGAGCAGCGGCTGGTGCCGGTGTGCCAGGAGGGGCGGCTGATACGCCAGCTGCTGCGCAAGCTGATGACGCCACTGGCGATGCGGCTCAACACAGATGCAGAGGTGGGCGCTGCGGCTCCTGTTTGGGTCATTTGTTAAGCTTGGGAGTTTCTGTGTGCGCTGCATGTCAGATCGTACACAAAAGCAAACCGGCAGCCCTCCAGCAAAGCAGGCCCGCACAAAAAAACAGCAAGGTTGGCGGTGTTTGGGACAAGGGTTTGGGAGGCCGAAAGCCTTAGTTCCAGGAGGGGCGGCTGATCCTGGCACTGCTGCGCAAGCTGACGTCGCCACTGGCGATGCGGCTCGACAGCAACGCAAAGGTGGGTGTACATGGGCGCGGCTCCTCCAGTCCGGGCCATGTGTGGGTGCGGTGGAGTGGCTGCTTCATGCTCCATGCTGTTTCACGCTGAAACCTGCTCACAACCCTTACCTTTGTGTGTGCAGCTGCACGCAAGTTTTACTATCAAAGCAGACGAGCTTTCACGCCTTACATGGTGCAAGATCAGGCCCCCGGCCGGAAACTGTAAACCCTGTTTGTTGTGTGTGCTGCTGCAGGCGGGCTTCATGTTCCATGCGGACGAGCTGCTCACGCCCTACATGGTGCAAGATGCGCGGTCAAAAGCAGCAGGCCGCGCAGGCCTCGCAAAAGCAGCCTTCCCTAGCAGCAGCGGCAGGGGCGGCGGCAGGGGCAGGGGTGGCAGCAGTAGCCTGGTTCCCTCATGGGGCGGCAGGGGTGCAGGTGGCAGGGGTGGCAGCAGCAGCGGTGCTGCGTGGGGGCTTGGGGGTGATGTGAATCTCTTGTGGGAGGGTCTGCTGCTGCTGGCTGCTGCTGCTGAGGCGTATGAGCAGCTGGGGTCGAGGGGAGGTCTGGATGTGCTGCGCAGTGCGGAAGCTACCGGCAGCCGTGCTGCGTCTCAGCTGCTGCGCAGCCAGGCGAGCCAGGCGGACTATGCAGACCTGCTGCGGAGGCTGGAGGTGCGTTGTTAGGTGATGCAGGATTGTTTTAAAATGAAAGAGACAGGAGTGGTAGATCTGCGGGTCCAGGCGCCACCTGGAGGCTGGATGTGGGTTGCCAGGGGATGCGTGATGCATGGTATGAGCAGCTAGGGTCGAGGGGAGGTCTGGATGTGCTGCGCAGTGTGGAAGCTACTGGCAACTGTGCCGTGCCTCAGCTGCTGCGCAGCCAGGCGAGCCAGGCGGACTATGCAGACCTGCTGCGAAGGCTGGAGGTGCGTATGGCGATTGCAGTGTTACGTCACAGAGAGGTGGCAGGTGGAATTGGGGAGGGCGGTAGGTTGTTGCATGTGCGTTGTGCGCCATCTAAAGACCTGTTGCGGAGGTTCGAGGTAGGTTTGAGAGGTTGGGCTTATTGTGTGTCATGGAAATGTAGCCAGCCGTCATGGCAGGTGTAGGTGCAAGCATGACTGCAGATGTGTTTGCAGCTGCTACAAGTGTGGTGCTTTTGCCGGAGGCCACGCTTAGCCAGTAGGAAGTGCAATCACACACATTCATCCTCCTCAAACATAGTCATTCAACATGCTGCTGCTGCTGCTGCTGCTGCTGCTGCTGCTGTGCAGGCCACCGCTGCTGTGCCGCACCCAAAGCTGGCAGTGCTGGGGCAGCTGCTGCAGGAGCACTTTGACCAGCCAGCAGCAGCAGCAGCAGCAGCAGCAGCAGCAGCAGCAGCAGCAGAGGGTGCCGATGAGGGCCCGGGCCGTGCCATTGTGTTCTGCACGTACCTCAAGGAGGTGGCCATGGTGCAGCAGTACCTGAGGCAGTATGAGCCGCTGATACAGGCTAGGTGGGTGGGTGGCGCGTAGTGGGGTGCATGCGCACATACTTTTGGGCAGCAGCTTATGTATTGACCTTGCAAGTGTTGGTCGCTGCTCAAGGGTTTTCAAGCAGCAGGGCTATGGCTGGCAGGAACATGTTAGATTCGCCCAAGTCTGCATGGCTGTTCAAACTGACGGTTTCTGGTGCGTACAAACTTGCCCAAATCGTCATCTTGTTGCTGTTCCATATACTAATGTGTGCTCTGCTGTGATGTGCTTTGTCACCCCACAGGGCCTTCATCGGGCAGGGCAATGCCAGCAGCCGCAGCACCACCAAAAAGGGCGGCAAGAAGGGGGGCGAGGCGGCAGCAGCAGCAGCAGCAGCAGGCTCCGGCGGCGGCGCCGCTGCTGCTGCTGCTGCTGCTGCTGCTGCTGCTGGGCTGGCTGAGCTGGGGGAGCTGGCTGGTGGCATGAAGCAGAAGGAGCAGCAGCGCGTGCTGCAGGAGTACCGGGACGGCTGCTTCAATGTGCTGCTGGCAACCTGCATTGGGGAGGAAGGCCTGGACATCCCCCAGGTGGGTGAAGTTGTAAACCTCAACAAACCTTGAGGAAGTGAAACCTACATGCTGTAACAGAAAGCAGTGTGGTGCATGTGGGGTACAAGAGGGGTGCTTCAATGTGCTGCTGGCAACCTGCATCAGCAAATAGGGTCTGGACATACCTCAGGTGGGTGTGTCTGTTTACTTCATTTGTAGTTCATTCTTTGTTGTTTGTATCAATTGCTGTCTGTTCAACCTGTCCTTATGAGCAGGGCTGGCCTTCACTTAGGTAGGGCCTGGTAGACACCTCAACCCAAAGACAAAGCTACAGCCCTACAGTGTTCGACGAGAATCTGGGTTGGTGTGAGGCATACGTCTGTCCTTTTCAAAGCTGTGTATGCTGTTTTTAATCTAATGCACTGTTTCACTGCTTTATCATCATGGTTTGTTTGCCTTGCTAATGCAGGTGGACCTCATCATCTGCTGGGATGCGTCCTCGCCCTCGCGCATGCGGCAGCGTGAGGGCCGCACCGGGCGCAGCAGGCCGGGGCGCGTGGTGACGCTGCTCAGCGAGGGGCGGGAAGCCCAGCACTACGAGGACAACCACGCCAAGGAGCAGCTGGTCAAGGTGGGTTTTAGCGTTGCGATTCGTCATGTCAGGGTGTGGTTCAGGGTTTGGGGTTTGGTGTTGGCCACCCAAGGGTCCGTGGTGACGCTGCTCAGCGAGGGGCGTGAGGCGCAGCATTACAAGGACAACCACGCCAAGGAGCAGCTGGTCAAGGTGGGATTTGCTGTTAGGAGTTGTTATGTTGGGGTGTGGTTCTGGGTTTGGGGTTTGGGGTTAGCCACTTGGGCCGCGTGGTGACGCTGCTCAGCGAGGGCCAGGAGGCGCAGCACTATGAGGACAACCATGCCAAGGAGCAGCTGGCCAAGGTGCGTTGTGCTGTTAGGGTTCAAGTTGTTGGGGTTTCTGGTATAGGGTTTGGGGTTTGGGGCCACCCGAGGTGCGTGGTGACGCTGCTCAGCGAAGGGCGGGAAGCCCAGCACTACGAGGACAACCACGCCAAGGAGCAGCTGGTCAAGGTGGGATTTGCTGTTAGGATTTGTTATTTGAGGGTGTGGTTTAGGGTTTGGGGTTTGGTGTTGGCCACCCAAGGGTCCGTGGTGACGCTGCTTATTGAGGGGCGCGAGGCGCAGCACTACGAGTTCAACTACGCCAAGGAGCAGCTGGTCAAGGTGGGCTCAGGGTTGGTGAGGGTTTACGAGTTCTGGGTGGTTATTAGGGCTTGGGGGATTTAGGTTTAGGTTTTGGGTGGAGAGCGCGAGGCGCAGCACTACCAGGACAACCATGCCAAGGAGCAGCGGAGAGAGGTCTGTTACAGGGGTGGGCAAGCTATCACTCTTGCCCACTGTGCGTCAGTGCGTCACTTGCCCCTCTTTCAGCTCACGTATCGTGAGAACCCCGCAGCTGGCCAAGGTGGGTCCGGGGCCCATCACTTTCGAAGAAAAGGGGCCCATCACAGAGAGAGAGAGAGAGAGAGAGAGAGAGAGAGAGAGAGAGAGAGGGAGAGGACGGGAGAGAGGTCTGTCACAGGGGTGGGCAAGCTATCGCCCTAGAGCGAGTCACCTGCCCCTCTTTCAGCTCACATATCATGAGGACAGATTGACCAGCCGCCCTGTTGCAGCACTGGTGGAACAAACGCCGCATCGCTGGTGGCGTCCAGGTGGATCGCTGGTGGCGTCCAGGTGGAGCTGGCAACACTGGCTCCAGCATGCTGTGACCTCAGCAGCAGCAGTCATGGTGTAGCTGGTCATCACGTTGTGCCTCACACGTGCAAGGTCCCCAGTTCGGACCTGGGTGGCTGCATTTTGAACTCATCCCATGCACACTACCTATTTTCCCTCCGGTGTAGCTGAAGGCGGTGTTTGACGCGCAACTGCCATGTCACCTGCCAACTTCTGGGTTTTCCATGCAAGGGAGGGTTCAGGGAGCTGCTGCTGCTGCCGCCCTGCCAGCCGTTGCATGGCCTGCGTTTTGTAGACGGGTATCTTGCCACATGTTCATGCTGCGTGACGGCCACTGCTGCTGCTGCTGCTGCTGCGCAGGCGCACCTGCGTGCCAGCAACTTTGACCTGCACAAGGCTGAGGTAGCGATGCTGCCGCCAGACATCACCCCCACACCCACACTGGTGGTACTTCCCGACGCGGAGCAGGTGGGTGTCATAGCAGCAGTCCCTGCTGCTACTGTTGCTGGTGGTGGTGGTTTATGTGCTGCTGCTGCTGCTGCTGCTGCTGCTGCTGCTGCACTTGCTCCTTGCTGTGGCAGCAGTAATGGTTTAGTGACATGCCTATACTGGCGGCGCTGCCAGACACAGAGCAGGCGCGTGCGATGGCTTATGCTAGTACTGTCGCTGCTGCTGGCGCATTCTGTGGCGGCTCATGCGCTATTGTTAGCACAGGCATCGCTGCTGCCTGACTGACGCGCAGCAGGTGCGTGTGATGATAGCAGTCACCGCCCCTACTACGTATGCTGCTGCTGTCGCTGCTGCTGCTGCTGCACTTGCTCCAAGTTGTTGTGGCAGCAGCGATGGTGCAGTAACACAGGGCAAATTTCAGCTGCAATGTCTTGCAGGATGCCAGCATCGTGCACCACTAGGCACACAGGCTTATTGGACAGTCGAAGCACCTGCTGTGCTGCATCAATAATGACTGCTGCAGGCGACGAAGCCGCGCGGCAAACGCAGCAACACCGCAGCCGCAGCAGCACCTCCAGCAGCAGCCGGCACCAGTGGCGCCGTGCAGAAGCGCAAGCGATCCAAAGACCCACAGCAGCAGCAGCAGCAGCAGCAGCAAGGCTTTGGCGCTGCGGGTCTGTTTGCACAGGCCGAGCCGGGGCTGGGTTATGCTGCTCTTGCGAAGCGTGCGCGTGGCGGCAGCGCCGGCAGGCAGCTTGGCCGCGGCAGCAGCAGCAGCAGAGCATATCTGGCAGAGGAGGATGAAGCGGAGGCTGTGTTTGCAGGAGATGCAGCAGCAGCAGCAGCAGCAGCAGCAGCAGCAACAGGGTTAGGCAGGCGTGCGGCGGCTGGTGCTGATGCGGACAGTGATGATGGCTGGGGTACGCCTGGCCCTCTGCCAGATGCTGCTGCTGCTGCTGCTGCTGCTCTCAGCACCTCATGGTTAGCAGCAGCAGAAGCAAGAGGCCCCCTAGGGGACGGCCAGCCGGCACCAGGCAAGGCCATTCGCCGGAAGCAGCAGCTGCAGCGGCTGCCTCAGCCTCAGCAGCAGCAGCAGCAGCAGCAGGAAGTGCTGGCACCCACTGAGCAGCTGGTGCACGACGTGTATGACATGTGCGGCATAACAGACAGCCAGCTAGACGACTTGGCTGCAGCCAAGCGGCCTGCTGCTGCTGGGGATGCTGCTGCAGCAGGGGACTGCAGTGATGATGATGTGCAGGTGGTGGGGGAGTCACCAGGCCCGCTGCATGCTCAGCAGCAGCAGATGCATGTTGCAAGGGTTGCAGCAGGTCGTGCATTGCAGCAGCAGGCTAGCCAGTGTGATGCTGCTGCTAAAGTGGAGCTAATCGAGCAGCTAGAATGTGATGCTTCATGCAATCAGCAGCAGTGGCAACAGCAGCCAGAGCAGCAGCGCCTGTTTGGGTTTGACCCTCGCACCGGCAGCTTCAGGCTCGCACCTGGCGCTGCAGCAGTGCTGCTGCCGGAGGGCAGCTGGGCCACTCAGCAGCTGCTGCAGAACTACCACCTGCAGCAGCAGCAGCAGCAGCAGCAGCAGCAGCAGCAGCAGCAGCAGCAGCGTGAGCTTGCTGGCGGCGGTACCGCTAGCGGCTGCTTCAAAGCAGCTGCTGGTGGTGGTGCTGGTGCGCTGTCAGCAGTGCTTGACCAGCTGATGCAGCCACTGACTGATGCTGAGCTGGCAGCAGCAGCAGCAGCAGCGGGGTCGCATGATGCTCATCCGCTGGTGGGCCTAGCGCTGCTGGGCTGCAGCTCACAGCTGGCAGCTGTGGCTGGCAGGAGAGGAGCAGCAGCTGATGTGGTGATGCAGCCTGCAGAGCAGACGCGTACAAGCGCATGCACAGCTGCCGTTGAGGAAGCAGCAGCAGCAGCCGCAGCAGGTGCTGATGGTAGCGATGCTGATGTGCTTGGCTGCTCTGATGATGAAGAGGCAGATGAGGCAGCTGGCGGTGCTGCTGCAGCGCAGCAGGCTCAGGTGCCCTGGCGGCTGAGGCAGAAAGCAGCAGCAGCAGCAGCAGCAGCAGAGGGGCCGGATACCGCAGCACTAGCTGCCGACGCTGTGCATTGCGTACAGCAGCAGCAGCAGCAGCCAGATGAGGGCCACAGCCAGGAAGATGTGCCGCTGCTGCAGAGGATGCTGGCACTGGCAGGACCCAAGAAGCCCAGGCCAGCATCTGCAGCCAGGAAAGGCAAAGCAGCAGCAGCTCAGCAGCAGCAGATTGCTGCAGAAGGCACACAGGCAGATGTTCCATTGGCGCAGCGACAGCAGCAGCTGGCAGGCGTATGTGGTGGGGACGTGCACCAGCAGCAGCAGGAGCAGCAGCAGCAGCAGCTGTCACAGTCAGACATACCGCTGGCGTTGCGCATTCCAGTAGCCAGGCCCCAGCAGCAGCCATTGCAGCAGCAGCAGCAGCAGAGCAACCAACAGGCACCACATATGGCTGGTGCGACAGCGCAGCAGCCATCAGCGCCTCAAGCAGCAGCAACAGCAGCAGCAGCAGATGATGATGATGATGACTCGGATAACGACTCTTGGATGAGCCCGCCAGCAACACAGGCTGATGTGCCTCTGGTGCAGCGCCAGCAGCAGCTGACTGCAGCATCAACATCAGCAGCAGCAGCGGGAGAGGCGTGTGGCGTCGAGCAGCAGATGTTGCTGACTCAAGCTGACGTGCCACTGGCCCAGCGCCAGCAGCAGCTGAGTACAGCAGCAGCAGCAGACACCACGTTAGAGAAGCCGAATGGTGAAGCGCACGAGGTTGTGTCGACTCAAGCTGATGGGCCACTGGCCCAGCGCCAGCTGCATCTTGCTGCTGCTGCTGCTGCTGCTGCTGCTGGGCCAGCAGCAGGTAGCAAAACAGCAGCTTTCCAGGGTGAAGATGATCAGGCAAAGCTACTGCCGGTGACTCAAGCTGACGTCCCATTGGCACGGCGGCTGCAGCAGCTAGCGAACGGTGCTGCTGCTTCCGCTCTTTCAACAGCAGGCGGAGTACGGGGCAAGCGCTTGCCAGCGGATCTGCTGCAGACGCAGGCAGATGTATCCCTGGCGCAGCGGCAGCAGCAGCTGGCACAGCAGCACTGCAGCAGCACTGCATTGCCGCAGCTTGCTGCTGCCGCTGCTGCAGCGTCAGCTGGTGGTGATAAGCCAGGCCCTGGCATACAGGCTGCCATGCCGTTGGGACTGCAGCAACAGGAGAGTGCAGCAGCTGGTGGCAGTTTGCAGCATGGCACGCAGCAGCAGCAGCAGCAGGGGCAGCAGGTTGGTGACACACTTGCAGATGCAGCAGTGGTGTGGCAGCAGGAGCTGTCACTTGGGCACCAGACGCAGCAGCAGCAGCAGCAGCAGCAGCAGCAGCAACAGCAGCAGCAGCAGGGGCTTCAGGTTGATGACACATTTGCAGATGCAGCAGAGGTGTGGCAGCAGGAGCTGTCGCTTGGGCATCATCATCATCAGCAGCAGCAGCAGCAGCAGCAGCTGCTACCTCCAACAGATAGCACTGGTGATGGGCCTGGCGGGCAGCAGCAGCTTGGCTGCCTGCAGCCGCCGCAGCAGCAGGAGCTGGAACAGCTGCCCCAGGGCCTGTCTGTGCAGCACCAAGCAAATCAGCAGCAGCAGCAGCAGCAGCCCAACATTGTGCTGCCGTTGCATTCACAGCCTGTAGCGTCCCTGGCTCCTCCACCTGATATTGACCCATTCGATGACAGCGAGCAACCAGCAGCAGACAATGCATTTGATGCATTCGCGCTACCACCACCGCGGCAGCAGCCGCGGCAGCAGCAGCAGCAGCGGCAGCCGCTGCGGCGTAACGGCATGGGCAAGAACCGCGCCAGGGCAGCCATGCGGCGCCCCGTGCAGGCCTCATCCTGGGACGAGCTGAGCAGCCAGGAGCCAGCAGCAGCAGCAGCAGCAGCAGCAGCCAATGCTCAGCCGCCGCCGCCGGCAGCAGCAGCAGCAGCAGCGCCAAGCAGAGCAGCAGGTGCTAGGCAGCCGCAAAGCACTGCAGTGGTATCACACCAGCCAGCACAGGAGGCAGCAGCTTCTCGAGCGGATGTGCCAGCCGGACAGCAGCAGCAGCTGCTGCAGCAGCAGCTGGAGCTGCCACAGGCAATGCAGGCAAACACGCAGCAGCAGCAGCAGCAGGTGCAAGTGGCCGCGGCTTCCAGCCACTCTGCAGGCGTGTCCTGGCTGCCCGACTCTATCGATGATCAAGCGGCTGATGGAGACCTGCTGCTGCTGCAAGTACCGCCAGCGCAGCAGGAACAGCAGCACCAGCAGCTTGAAACAAACCCTCCTGGGCAGCTGCCACACGTGGATGCTGCAGCAGGTGCCGGCGAGGAAGCAGCACGGCATCAAGCTGGTTCAGCAGCAGCAGCGGCGGAGGCAGCTGGTGGTTTTGCCTTTACAGCTGCGCCTGCTGGCTGCAGGCAGGGATCAGCCACGCCAGACCTCAAGCTCAAGCCAGACAGCAGACCCAGCAGCAGCAAAGCCCTGCAGCAGCAGCAGCCGGAAACCTTAGCAGCAGCAGCAGCAGCAGCAGAGCCGCAGCTGAGCAGGCAGCTGCGGTTTGATGCTGCCGGCTGCATGTCGCCTCCCCCTGCACGCACCATGCCAGCTCC